GTTATGTTAATGTAGCACCGAATAGGTTTTTTTGCGGTCCGGTAGAATATTCTTACTGAATTAAAATAAAAGGAATAACTATTATAATCATAATATTATATGATTATAATCAGCGTCAGAAATTCACTTTTTTCTCGATATCAGTGTGCGAATACTATCTGTAAAAATTTGGAAATTTGCAAAAAAATTGGCTTCTGCATTTTTTGGTATTACCCTTTGAATAAAATGTAAAAAATGAAAAAGTCAATTTTTCTGAAAATTCCCCAATTCTTCCGTTTTTTTCCGGAAAAAAACGATTTTTTTCCGCCGGCTCAATTTTTCAGGAAATTTTAAAACCCTAATCACAAATATAATAAATTCATGTTTATTACATCCCGTTTTTCCAGAGGAATGGAAAGTTTACAAAGTCCTTCCACTGCCCAAAAAGAAAAATATAACTAGCTTCAATGAGCTGCGTCCTATCTCTATCCTGCCTGTGTTGACCAAAGTCCAAACATAAAAAATTATCCAATAAGATCACATTTAAAAAATTTAGATAAAGTTATTTGTTACTTTTGGATATAACAGATGACTTTCTAAGAGATATAGATCAGCTTTAATATAATAAGACTACTCAAAGGCTTTTAATGTCATCAACCACGAAATTTTGTTCTCTATTCTTTATCATATACGGTTTTCAAATGTGGCAATTTATCTTAGCCAGTTATTTTAGAGGTAGGATGCAGTTTATTGAAACTAATAAAGGGAAATCAGACAGAGCTCGCATTTCATGTGGTGTACCTCAGGGCTCCATATTACGACCATTGTTGTTTTGTATGTATACATTTAATATAACCAAATCGTTAAATTACTGTCAGTCTTATTTATATGCTGACGACACACAGCTAAATTACCCGTCTCATCTCTGGCAAGTTTATCAAGCAATTGAGGCTATAAATAGTGATCTGCAAGATTTGATTCAAATCTTGGAAAAAAGTTAATCTTGAAATTGATGATGCATTTTCTGATGACGAGACGTCAATTTGAGGATGTTGTCTGACTCAGAATTTTCTCAGGATTCCAAATATGTAAAAATATATAGGGCATTCCATATAAAAATTTAAAGTTGGTATCATTACCGGCGAAACCGGAAGTTCAAAAAATTTATTTTGTGCTCTTATACATATGTGGCATTTTATATCCTAATTAACCATGGTAAATTGTATGTGTCTTTATCACATTATATGTATATATTCTTGCACATAAAAAATAAATAAAATCATATAAATAATGTTATACCAAAGAATTGTGTCAGTGTAACCAACTGAAATAAAAGGTAAATACTACTGTGTTTGTGAAGTAAACCCGCAAAATTAATTTACCGGACCTTTAAAAATATTTGCGTGACTTGGTAATCCCAAAATATAATATATTAATATTTATAAAAGAAATATGTATTCAGTGACCCAAGTAAAATTTATTTTATAAAAAAATAGCAAGGGCCATTTTATATTTTCTTTACATTCGAAAAAGTTTCAGGAGATATCTCGTCCTTATCCTTTTTTGGTGAGCCATTATTTACAGCTGCGAAACAAGTATAAAATACCGATAACGAGGATCTAGGATACTCATTCAATATAATGTTTAGTATGGACTATCGAAGCATTTTTAACAAAATCTGAATCATTTTATTTTTATTATAGGATTTAAAACTTTCATTTTAATAATAAAACTGTAAAAAGAATAACAAAATAAATATTTATAAAAATATTTTTCCTTTAGTACACAAAATACTGCTTAATTAAAAAATTCCTTGAAAACAATTTAACCTTCATTTAATTAAAATTGGGTTCTTAGAGAACATTTCTATAATTTTAGCATTTATTTTATTGACATTAACACCTTGTATTTTTGGAATTTAAAATTAGAAAAATAAAAAAGTTAATTAATTAACAAATAAGGCTGACTTGTTAATACATACATACTACGTACATAATATGTATACCTACGTTGAATATCAGCGATTTCGTTTAGTATTCTGTTTCCGCTTATTTATTATAATAGCTGGACATAGGAAAAGCCCAATTTCCATTAAATTTTAATTTTCCAGATTAAACCTCTCCCGGAAATTAGATACATACGTGAATTTTTTATCAAAAGACTTCTGTTTTAATGAAAATTTTATTTTAAAATATTTTGCCGGAATTTTGAAATTAGCTAATTAGATAAAGTTAATTGTTTTTTTTTAATTTTGTTTCGTCTCTGACAAGGTGAAGGTGGTATTTAAATAAAAAGTGTATAAGCGACACATTATCAAGGCTTAAGTTATAAAATAATATAAGACTACAAATATTAATGATAATATTTTTTTAAATGGCGAAGGCGCCGGGATTAATATATTAGTTTTTCAGTATTCAATATTTTTTAATTTTGTAGGAAAACACTATAAAAATATATGATGTATAGGTTTACAGTTTTTATATAAGTCTCATATGGGATAAAAACTTTATGTGCGTTTTACCGTTCAGTTTTAGTTTTTCTTACGGAATTAAATTAATATAAATGTTTCCTACTAATAAACACACATTTTTAATAAAATTATTCCTTGAGGGGCTACATTTTAACCTGTTTTCTTTTTATTTGTTTATAAGGATTTAAATGAAATAAATAAATGGTCACGAGAGAGTTTTAAAGTGCTATTGCAGGTGCAACAAAATCGGCCAACCTTTTCCAGATCATAGTTCAAAAACACAAAAGTCTATTAATTGTGAAACATTTTATCTATTATACTTTTATATTTTCAAAGACGATCAACCAAAGTAATCAAAAACATTATACAAAATTAAAATATACAAAATTTAAAGCAATTGCGCCAGTTTTTTTTTACAAAGTTTTAAAACGTTGACACTTAATTTTGTATCGCGGCTGCAACAACCTAACAAGAAATTACATGTTCTTAAATGAACTAATAAACGAATGTTGTCACTAACAGATTAACCAGTAAAATATAAACTTAAACAGCAATTTTACCTACCGACTATTAATTTCCACCAAATCTTCAATGTAAATATTTCTAAGCGCGACAAAAATTTAAAAAGGAACTTGTGATGTCGCTCAAAGCTGTTTTGTTAATATTTTTTATAATGCTACTGATTTTAATTTTTTTATTTTATAAATGCAGGTACCAATTTTAAATTAAAATCTTAACTTTTTTAATTAAATTTCATTTTCTTATCTTATGTTATTTTTACATTTTTCTTCACTTATTTAAATATAACATGGTGTTTTTTATTTTGTAATAGCGACACAATACATTTTTGCAGGTAGCAATTTTAAATTAAATTCTTAACTGTTTTAATTAAATTTCATTTTCTTATCTTATTATGTATGTTATTTTTACATTTTTCTTCACTTATTTAAATACAACATAGTGTTTCTTTTGTTTCTTGAAATATTTCTAATTTTTATTATAATATTGTTAAAAAATAATATTTTTTGTTTATTTACATGCCAAATTTACCTATTAAATTAGTTTTTAATAATAATAATTTTATATTATACTCGTATCACTTATACTATCTTAGATTTTAATAGAGAAAATTTAGTAGTCGATAGAAAATAATAAGAAAAGTTAATATAAACTTGTATGTTTTAAAGCTTTGTTTTCGAGATACAGTGGTAAAATTATTAAACAACTGTCAACTAACTTAAAACTAACTTTAGGCCGTGACTAAAACGCCATAAAGCCAGAACTTGTCAATGTGTATTTAAAAGGTCACTTAGTGTCATGGAAACTTGTACGATAATGGGCGTTTTAAAGGTGGGAGTGGAAAAACATACTTTTTTTATTACCTTTAACACCCTGTATCCCGAAAACAAAGCTTTAAAGCATACAAGTTCATAAAAACTTTTTTTCTTATTTTTGCGAGTTCTATAGACTATAACATTTTTCCAAATAAAATTTGAGACTTATGAGTGTTATTGTTAAACTCAATTAATAGGTAAATTTAGCAGACAAAGCACATAGTATAGCCAAGCATACATTATACACTGCTGAGGCGATAGCCGAGCCAGTAGATTGTGCTTGAGGCAATTAATAGACTTTTAAACTATTTTTTTCAAGCATTTAATTAGAATGTTTTTTTTAATTTTAAAATAACATTTTAAGGTTAGGTTCAACTGACGTCATGAAATTTCTGTACATAGCTTTATAATAATTGTATACATAATAATATTTTTTGTATCTGCGATTTTAATGAAATTAGAAATTTTTAAAAATTTTTTTTATGATACTTTTTGAAATGTCGAAAAAATAATCGATTTGGAAATTTTTTTCAAATTATTAGAAAATTAAACGAAACATCATGACAATTAAAGCAAAAACACGAATAATTTAAAAAAATCCAAACAACAATTTTGTTTTAAAAAAATAGAAATTTTTTAAAAAATTCGACATGTTAAATAAAAACTTTCGGACAAAAAATCAAAAAAAATCAGGAAGGTGTCTTTAAATGCGTAAAAAAACAATTTAAAGAAAATCGTTAATTCAAACTCATTTGATAAGTAAATTTAGCATATTATGTACCTTGTACTTTGCGTTTTAAGGATCATTTAATTGTATTGCTTCTTAGTACTGTAAAAAAGTTGCTTTTCAACGAGAATTCCCTTGGGATAAAAGTCATAATCATATTTTTAAAATCTTCTTTCATAAGCGAAACATGACATACTAACTACATAACTAAAGCAAAATTGCATGTGCATTTTCCTTAGTTCTTATAGCTATAGTAAGCAAACAAATTTTTTGTTTTAATTTTGTTCTTAATTTTTTTCATAAACATGTAATATAAAGTCTAATTAAAAAAAATAACAATTATTATTTTAATTTTTACAATTTTTTGTATTGTGGAATAAAAATACAAATTTTTATAACCATCAGGTTTGCCATAAATTCGTATGGGTTAAAAGTCAACATTATAATGTTTATCTTAAAACTAAATATTAATAATTTAATTTGTTTATACCTCATTAAATTGCGAAAATTCCTCGCCAAAAAATCACCCCTCAGGAAACGTGGCTTAATCAATTCACAATGTGTCGCACAAAAATAAAACCCGCGCGCGCCAATTCAAAACCGTCGCGGCGTTATCACGTGCGTAGCTGCGCTCGCTCTCGGCTGCTCGACGATTCAGCTGCGATGTTCCGAAGCTGACGGTTGCGACTGCCGCATCAAACGCCCGGGCCGCTCCAGCAAGGATGCTGAGTTATACCGAATGTTCCTGAGTACGCGGACATGCGCCATGGGCGACAATCGATATTATTTCCCTTAGCCATTACGACGCGTGTACAGATACGGCGCGCCGTCAAAAGGTTACGGTGCGAGTTACGCATTTGAACTTTAGACTTTTTCCTCCTCCACCTAAGGGGGAGTCGACAAGATCAAACATGCTAAACTGTTATGGGCAAGATAAGCCTATTTAGAGGAGGTGACCTGCGACAGTGACGTGCCACATTTGTTCTAATATTTTAAACCTTTTTATACTTGTGTATTAAATAATTAATAATTATAACATTACGATAAAAAATAACAAAAACAATGCTATAATAAGCTGACTAGGGAAGTCAGACTGAACATACTATTATTAGGTTATAACAATTCTATTTCAATCAGAGTACCTAAAATCTGTTATTTTAAATAATAATAACAACAAAAAATTAAACAAATATTTCATGAATTCAATATGTAAATAAGTTTTATGCTTTTATAACGATTTTTTATTTTTCGGGCAATCAGTTTATCCGTAAATTTCATATCTTCATAGCAATAGGCACTTTTTACAGATTTATATTTCGTGGATTTTTGTCAGGAGCTAATTGTGATTCCGGACCATTTTTTAAACCTTTTCTCTTAAATATGATTAACGCAAATAATTTGAAAGATGCATTCCCAAGAATGTGTATTGCGTTGGAAAATTAAATTTGTTAATTGAGAACCAGCAATACATTTTAAGGATGTAGTAGATATGTTTGCTTAAAGAAAAGTACGCAAGTTTAATTCTGGTTACTCTTCAAATGTAGTAGTCCAAAATGACTAAATGTCATAGCGAAAAAGCCGCAACTAATAACTGCAGTCAAAATCAATTTGTATTCAGGACATTTAACAGTCAATTCCACAGTCAAAATTTAGATCATAATTTAAACCCAATAAGTCTGAAGAATTTACAAATTATGACCGTTTACAACATACAGTCCAAAAGCCCAGGCCACTGCGCATGTCGATTAATAAAATCGCGACAATATTTGAATTTAAAAATATCGTTGATGCGCCTGAAAAAACAGCTATAGTCACGGCCAATGAGATATAATGACGTCAGCATTACCAACTTTGAATTGTAAAGTTACTGCCGTTAAATTTGCTTTTTTAAGGCGTAATTCTGATGTGTTATTAAAAAGAAATCATTCATTTGCGTATTGTTTGCCAAGAACTGTAACAATTTCCTTGTTTTAAAACGTTTTTTCACGAAATTATCAAAATAAAACCATTCACTTAGTAATTTTTGTGTGTGCCAGTTGGTAATAGCTTAAGGCTGGCGCGCACCGTTCAATATTATTGATGGGTCGCTGTCATTTTATATTTGACGTATTTTTGTAATTGTGATATTTCGTCCGGAAGCATCGTTTGTTGCAAATTATTATAAATAATATTATACATTATGTTTATAAGATTCAATCCCTGGATTGTGCAAACAATGATATAAGGCCTGTTGGCAACTAGCCGTTATTAGATTTCGAAGACATTGCGCCCTTAATAATAAATTTGGGGAAATAATCAGACTTCAATTCTGACCTGCTTTGCTCTGATGACAAGGACGACTGGTAATTTATTATTTTTGTGTTTCTGATAATTTAGTATTTTTTTGTTATGTGCATATGTAATAAAAATGTTATAAACTCCGTTTGTTTTCTCTTTAAACACATTTAATAAAAATTTGCCTATAACAAACTCCTAATTAGTTAGTGCAGAAGATTATACAATAGACTGGGCCAAAAAAATTGACTATTTTTTTTTTTTGAAAAATATATCGAGAATGTCATTCAGAATGACAAAAAAAAAATTTCGTGAAAATTTGAGCCCTCAATATTAATTTTAAGAGGTCTATCATCGCTATTTTTGATTTTTAGTCATAATATGATGTTTTACGTTGGAACTGTCAAAACAATAAAGTGAAAAAAATTCCTTGTCACTTATTTTTATAAAAAATTAAATTCTCTACAAAAAAGGTCTGATTGAAAATTTTCGCCAGACGAGCCGTTTCCGTGTAATTGAGCTTAATAAATCGATGTGTTTTTTCGATTTGCCCTTTTTACTTTGAAATTTTGTAACTAATGAATCAATGAATATTTAAAAAAGCTCACGTCGGATTCTTAAAGGAAATTTAATGTTCTACAAAAAAGGTCTCGGAACATTTTTGCCTAAATTTAATTCTTCAAAAGTTATTCACGAAGAAAAAATTGAAATTTTAAGTTTTTCTTCGATTTTAATCGTGAATAACTTTTGAAAAATTAAATTTAGGCAAAAATGTTAAGAGACCTTTTTTGTAGAACATTAAATTTACTTTAAGAATCCGATGTGAGCTTTTTTAAATATTCATTGATTCATTAGTTACAAAATTTCAAAGTAAAAAGGGCAAATCGAAAAAACACATCGATTTATTAAGCTCAATTACTCGGAAACGGCTCGTCTGACGAAAATTTTCAATCACACCTTTTTTGTAGAGAATTTAATTTTATATAAAAATAAGTGAAAAGGAATTTTTTTCACTTTATTATTTTGACAGTTCTAACGTAAAACATCAAATTATGACTAAAAATAAAAAATAGTGATGATAGACCTCTTAAAATTAATATTAAGGGCTCAAATTTTCACGAAATATTTTTTTTGTCATTCTGAATGACATTCTCGATATATTTTTCAAAAAAAAAAATAGTCAATTTTTTTGGCCCAGTCTATTATACAAGGACGTTATAATTCCATCTTAATAACAGCCCCCACCGCTATAAACAGTCAACAATGCTCGAGCGTTAGATTGTGCCTGGGCACGTATGAATAGACCTTAACGCTGACGTCATATGCCGTTGATGACGTGCACCCATACAGATTTGGCCGCGACTATATATAGTAAATTTAAAAGTAAACTACGTACACGTCATCAATCAGCTGATCGGGCACGGTTGTCAATGTGATGCTAAAATCCTTGCATCAAGGGAAAGTGGTAGTGCAACTACAGGGCGATAGATGGCGTTTACATGAATAATACCAAAATGTCAAAAGTCTGAGTTTTTATAACCTATATGATGCACCGCCAAAAGTATGTTTTTAGCCATTTTTAAAGACATTTTCTGATATAAAACCCAAAAATTTTGCCATCTAAAGTCAGTCTCTGGTATATATATTATTATTTCATGCATCCAACATATATTTTGTTAAATATTCTAATATATAATTAATAATAATCCTATTTACCTCTCTAACAGCTGTTAAAGGTAACAAAGGTCCATTATTATCCCGTTCTGCCTCAAAATAGCGTATTAAGGATGACACCAACTCTTGACTCCGACTATTTAAATGCAAAACAACGATATATAACACAAAACAACGATATATAACAAACACAAAAACGGCAATGAACTTAAACGATATAAAATAACACAAACAACAAACAAAATAAACGAAATAATACACGAATTAAACGAAATATTCAAAAACACAACTGACAGCTTCGAAATTCTAAAACGTCAAATTCTTTTTTATGTGTCATTTAAATATGAAAAATTTGAATGTAAACATGACAACATCACAATTGTTGCCAACTTAATTTGGTTAAAATGCATTCAAATATTCAATTACAGACTTCGATTTAGTCATTTAGTGTTGGTACCAATGCGTAAAATTTTTGTTTTATTGATGACGTGTACGTAGTTTACTTTTAAATTTACTATATATATATATATATATATAGATATATATATATATGTGCATTTTAAAAAAAATTACAGAAGAAGGAAAAGACATTTCAATACCACAACCAAAACTTTGATAAAAGTATTTCCTAATGTTTTTCAGTATAATTAAATATTGAAAAAATATTAAGGAATGCATACTTTCATAAAAGTTTTATCTGGTAGTAAAATGTTTTTCTTCTCCTGTAAAATTTGTTAAAATGCGCATAGAGGTTCTTGCAGGAGCAGATACGATATTTAAATAATTCTTTGGAATACCTGTGAATCAAACCGAACTTGAATAAAAATTTTGCTTTGGTAGAAATTTAATTTATATATTTTTTTAATTGGTATAGGTACAAATAATTTAAATTTACATAATAAATGGGCGATTTATTTACATTAATTATTTGCAGTAAAATTAAAAACTGGAATTTATCAATGGTACAATTTTATAATCCGATCAAAAATTATATAAGCGGTTTAAATCGGTGCAAATGAAAATTGATTCCGTTGTTCTAGTGCTAAATTTGAGTTAACAGGTTTTAAATCAGTTTTCGTAGTTCAAAGTAGGTTTAAATTACAAACTAAATTTTGATTTGGGTTCCTATGTAAAATTGTCCGCTGAATCCGAAAATACCGTCAAAAGTTATAAAAGTAAAGGAGTTCTTGAGATATGGTCAATTTTATATTATATGGAAAAATGACTATATCTCAAAATCAGTACAACTTTTATATGACGACATTTTCGGATTCAGCGAACCATTTTACATAGTAGAAATTGACTGCTAAATGTCCGAGATATAAATTTCTGTTGACTAGAATTATTAGTGGCTGCTTTTTCGCTATGACAATTAGTTGTAGGCATTTTTGTTCTACGTACCTACTAATACTAATTTTCCAAGCAAATTATTTTTATTATTATTAATTTTTTTTTATTTAAGGTGCTTAGGTCATTGGCACCAATCTTCTGAAAGAAAAATCCTCATTGACACCCGAAGGTAATTTACGTTCTCCAGGTAGGTGATAACTTTTGCTGTATTTTCAGGGTCATAATTGAGTAAAACATTTAGTTCCAGGTCAGCTATACCATGTAGTACTCTTTGGTTATGAAGAGTGTGATATTCTATAAGGAGGTGCCTTGGGATTGGCCTTGGTATGACCCAATCTTAATATGGTTCTCTCTGTTCTCTCCTACTCAGACCAGCAACCCTAACATCCTCCACGGAATCAATAAATTGACTCA